TTTTAATCCCCGCGAGTTTTTTTTTTTTTAATTTAATACCCGCTACGCCACAAGTTTTAAAATCGATTCTAAATTCCATTAGTTCTTATAATTTTAAAAATTAAATTCTTTAATAACCTTTTTGAAACCATTTAAGGATATTTAAATAATTGAAAATTAATTATATTTTATCCACAAAATACATACTTAAATTATTCGATTTTAATAGCTAATTTCTATAAGATCATATTCATGAAATCGATTCCATTTCTAAATGAAAATCAAAAAGTTACATTACATAATAAAAGTTGAAACAAAATTAATCTATTATAAGTATTGATTTTATTGATTTTCATATTATCACAATAGTATAATATTTTTTTGATTTTTCTAGAAACTTCATGAAATTTCATCATAATCTGCAACTTAATATGGTCATATTGTACAGGTGGGTCATAAATATTTTTGTAGTACAATATTTAGTATTAACTGCTGTGAATGGGATTAGTAGTTACACTTTTTTATTTATTGAATGACAGGATTTACCAAGATGAAAGTTAGCTTAAATACCCTCTCGCAAAAAAAAAAAAAAAAAAATTTAAACTTGAGGATTGGATATTAATAAAACGGGTGTTTAAATGTCCAAGAATGGCTAACCCAAAAAAGTTAGAATTTTATGTCCCCTACCCGGGCTTCAGAAACACGTGAGATTTTTTATTTAAGTCAGCTGTCGTGCCCAGAAAAATGATATTCCACAATGTTATAAATAAATTTCTTGGCTTGGATTTTACTACGAAAGATATGATATTTGAAACGAAATACAAAGGGATTTATTTGTATAATAAAGGTTAATGAACAAGGATCCCTACCCATATAAATAAAGTAGGTTGGGGATCATGCATATTTTCCATTTTTAGAAATGGATGGTTAATTGTACAATAAAGAAATATATATTATTTTTGTAGACCAACTAAAGAGTTAACCAAATTAGGCATAGGTTAATATTTTTTTAAATTTTTCTTTTAGTAGGGGAAAAAAGGGAACAAAATACACTCCCGGGTTAGGTTTTCTATTTTTAGACATTGATTTTAAACGGTACTCTTAACACGGAAAATGTAAGTGTAATGCATGACATGATCTCTTTTTTTTTCTTTATAATCAGAACAAATCGTTTTTTTGTTTATATTTATTATGTAATATGAAATTATCCGATTTTAGATACATTATTTTAATTATTTATACATATATTTTAAAAAAAAAAAAAAAAAAAAAAAAAAAAAAAAAAAAAAAAAAGAAAACTTACGATAAATTATGCCATTAACAAAGGAAAACTTATGTCGAAAGGAATTAGGATCCCGTGGGTCCATACGAGTATATGACATATTTAATAATTGAGGAACAGAAAAATTTTCGAATTGAATCATTTGGTGTTCCTTTTATATATATTTTTTTATAATGATTATCAGATTACTGTTGGCGAATTTTTTTTTTTTGCTCATGGATCTTTCCGAATCACATGCAGTTTATTTAAATGCTCAGTGAAATACCTAAGGCCAAACTTGGTAAAATAAAATTTATCGCGAATATATGATTGGGCGATTGGGCCAAGGCATAAAAATTAGCTATCAGTATAGTTAAAAAAATTATTCTCTCACTATTTGATAGTCAAATGCCAAATTATCAAAATTAAAAATGTGCAACGATCCCTTAACTATTTCTAGAATCGCCGGAATTTTTAATTCAAATATGGTCACGTGCCATTTATTCTCATATAAAAATGATCAATTTTGTGGTTTCTTAGTAATCGTAAATCATAAAATGTCTTTAAACACGTCAACTACTTACAACTTTAGTGTTGACTTTAGCCCTACAACTGACGCAGATGAACTTTTCATTAAGCACAGCATTCCCGAGCTTAGGGCTCTCGAGAAGAGAACAAGGTTACATAATGCTCAACGTAAAGGGTCCTTTTTTAAATTTCTTGTTAATAATTTTGTATTTTAGGTCCGATATCGAGAAAAAGAAGCAAGAGTTGCGACTTATGGTCGGGTATGTATTTGTTTGTTAGTTTGTCAAGGAATTCT